ATAAATCAGCCTTAAGAAACACGATTTTCTCCTCATTTTGTTTGCATTTGGAAGTGAAAATGACAAAAAATAAAAAGTAAAGCAATGTCATGATAGAATCTTGTTTGTGTGTCATATAGAAGTGGGCGGAATCTGTGAAGAGACGGTAGCATCTGATTGGTGGAGTTTGGGAGCCCTTTTATTTGAACTCATAGTTGGAAAGGTGAGAGTCATTTTCTCTATTTAAATATTCAGTGTGGCGAATTACATTGGAGCTATTGTAAGCGTTGTATTTTGATGTGGTGTCTAACATAAACAGCAGCGTCTCTTGTTGATGAGTATCTTTCTTATGTGTGCAGTCTCTATACCAGTGTCATCCTGCTGGCATTGGTAGACACTCATCGCTGAACATCCCAGAGTTTGTGTCGGAGGAGGCACGGTCTCTGATGGAACAGGTACATATTACCATGTAGGGCAAATTAATATGTGTGTATATACAGATGAAGTCAGAATTATTAGCCCCCCTAAATTATTAGAGCGCTTGTTTATTTTTTCCCCAATTTCTGTTTAACCGAGAGAAGATTTCTTTCAGCACATTTCTAAACATAATAATTTTAATAACTCATCTCTAATAACTGATTTATTTTATCTTTGCCATGTTGACAGTAAATAATATTTTACTAGATATTTTTCAAGACACTTCTATACAGCTTAAAGTGACATTTAAAGGCTTAACTAGGTTAATTAAGTTAACTAGGCAGGTTAGGGTAAATAGGCAAGTTATTGTATAACTGTGGTTTGTTCTGTAGATTATCGAGAAAAAATATAGCTTAAAGGGGCTAATAAGTTTGTCCCTAAAATGGTTTAATAAAAATTTAAAACTGCTTTTATTAATATAAAATAAAACAAATAAGACTTTCTTCGGAAGAAAAAATATTATCAGACATACTGTGAAAATGTCCTTGCTCTGTTAAACATCATTTGGAAAATATTTAAAAAAAGAAGAAAAAAAATCGAAGGGGGCTAATAATTCTGACTTCAACTGTATATATCACTGCAATCAGAGTGAGAAGGCACAAGTGACTGAAGTGGCAAAACTTTTCCTGTTTGATGTCAGTTAGCCCTCTACTGCACGGCACAACCATATGGCTACATGATACTTATGTTTATTTCCCTGCCACTGTTTCATTAAGACCAACATAATTTTTTTTGTTGTTGTTGGAAAGAGAAAACCTTAGAGTAGCCAATGATGTGCTTTGGGTAAATCACATGACATGCAGTGTTTTTCTGTAGCGTGATTTCTGACAGACTGCCGTTTATTGTGAGTAGTTCCTAAATGCCAATTTAAACGTCAATAAAAACAAAGGATCAAATTATGTCAGATCCACAAAACAATCTGAAACATCACCTCCAGTAAGTTATGATAACATATTCACAGCTCAAATTTTTTAAAAATCAAATAAGTTTTTTGTAAATTGATTTGTTTGCAATGGCCAAGCGATCTGTTGATGTTGAAAATCCTGTAGTGTGAACTAGGCTTTAGTATACTTTAGAACCAATTCTTCTTTGACATCATGCTGACTGCTTTCTTTGGATATCATCACTTCTTTGCTATTGAAGAAAGTAAGTGGAGTGTGTAGCTGAATTTACTTGAAATTGGAAGTTCCATTTGTACTGTTACCATCTTCATATCTCTCTCTCTCTCTCTCTCTCTCTCTCTCTCTCTCTCTCTCTCTCTCTCTCCATTTAATAATTCAATAATTGCTTTATTGGCATGACAATTGTTACAAATGTATTGCCAAACCAGTTATAAAATTTGCATAAAAAGTATCTTACATATATAATAAAAAAATAAAACAGTACACACAGTAAATAGTAGTAATGGCTAAAAAAGGGATGATATTTATATATAATAATTAAATAAAATATCAACCATACATCATATTATTCAATATATCACATTATTATTCAATATATTATATTATTATTCAACATTAATTATTCATACAAATCAAATACAAAAATAGATCTGAATAAACTGTACATTTTTAGCATAAAACAGTAATAAAAACAATAATAACTCTCTCTCTCTCTCTCTCTCTCTCTCTCTCTCTCTCTCTCTCTTTAAGTTTAAGTTCAAGTTGCTTTATTGGCATGATATTCAGTACAGTATTGCCAAAGCACTTCAAATATGAAATATATTAAAACCATTGAAAAAAATACTAATAATACAGATAAGATATAATGACAAAAAAACAATACATTTGATCAATATTACAATAATAATAAAAAGTTGAAATTATTTAAATAAGATACATGAATTTACATTAACCATTTCTTATGGTGTTTTTCTGAGTCATTTAAATTAAAAAATGAATTGATCAATGTTTGAAATTGGGGGGGGGAATATTTCTCTAGTTGTGGTGTATTTAGGGCAAAACAAAAGGAAGTGTGTCTCATCCTCTATTTCAGGGGTTCTCAACTGGTTTGGCCATGAGACCCACATTTTCACATGGTCATCAAGCAGCGACCCAAATTTTTAGGAACTATAATACAATTTTAGGAATTATAATTCATTTGTATTTATTTGTTAACATACACAAGTAGTGACAGAAAAATTATGAGAAAATCACCAATACCTACAAATAAACAATATTTTACTGCTGTCATTTAACAAAATGTATCAAATTATAGAAATATTACAAAGTAAAAACGACAAGTAAACAGTGCTTAGGGTGAGGAAAAGTTCAGTTACCATTAACTAAACTGAACTGTTAATAAAACATTAACAATGATCTGGTTGAACTGAAAAGAAACCAGCAAATTGAAGTAAAATTATTAAATAAATCATAACCATTTTATAATAATCACCAGTTATTGGCTCTTCTGCTTTTCTGTGGGCTTTCTTGGCCTTTGCTTCACGGTGAGCACAGTAAGATGTACTTGTACTTGTTTTGAACATGAAGATGTTCGGCACTTTTGTGATGCCCTCAGCTATTGGAGTCATCTTAGAAAATAGTCCACAGGTTTTTCCTTGCAACTGGGATGTTTGGTTTCTTAATTTCGAAGGTTTCATGCTGTCTTGTGAAAGCACCTCACTACATATGACACACTGAGGTTTTAAGCCTTTCTTGTCGTCAATATAAGTAAATCCACACTTTACATATTCAGGGTCGTACTTGCGCTGGAATTTCACATGTCAAACGGTACAGTTGTCGCACGCGCATTTCAAAATAAAAGTCCGATAAAAGCTAAATATGTTAAATATTAAACTTCTGTTGTTTTTTTTGACCACACACTCCGCGACCCACTGAAAATGTTAAAGTGGGTCGCGACCCACCAGTTGAGAAACACTGCTCTATTTGGTTTGTGTCACACTGTTTACATATTCTCTGTTCTTTAGGAGTCCAGGATTTTTTATGTCTGCCTTTTTCTATTTCTAAGTCATGATCACAGACGCGATATTTTGAAACAATGTGCTTTTAATTCTCTCTCTCTCTCTCTCTCTCTCTCTCTTTCTGTCTGTCTGTCTGTCTGTCTGTCTGCAGTTGTTGCAGTATAATCCAGTGGAGCGGCTTGGCGCTGGAGTAGCTGGTGTGGAGGATATCAAGTCTCATCCGTTTTTTTCTCATGTCAACTGGACTAATTAATTTATCAGATCATTTACTGGAACGAGATGAAAGATTGAAATGTGTCTCTATGTAACACATGCAATGCTGCAAAACACAAGCTTATTCCACATAACTTTGCCAATAGATGATCAAAGTTTAAAGTGCGTTGTTTTAAAATGCACCTTTTTTTAAAAATCGGACTAATTTACAACATGTCACTATTAGTTTCATTTATAGTGTGATTACAGGAAGCCGCTAGCATCACACAGACATCTTTAGCGTGCGAGAAGGTTCAATCCTAGTCATTTCTTTTGGAAAAATCCTCATCAAACTCTACATACTGTGCACTAATCCATCATGTTATTTATTAAAACACTCTTATTGTCTGTTGGATGATATTGGTTCATTCATTTGATGTGTTTCTTTCTCAAGGTGATTCTCACTCTTGAAGGCTGCATTTGTAAAATTAATATAATAAACATATATTAAGAGGTGCTGGCAGATTAACTTTGTTTGTCTGTGAATCATTTTAAAAGATGTGGGGCTGACAAGAGTTCAAGTGCAATTTGTTGAACAATGGGAATACATATGACTGTGTGATTTAAAGTATGTACCCAATTCACCTGTACCGCCTGTGGGGGAAACCCCACGCGAAGGCAGGGAGAACATGCAAACTCCACACAGAAACGCCAACTCAGCCGAGGTTCGAACCAGTGACTTTCTTGCTGTGAGGCGACAGCACTACCTACTGCGCCACTGCTTCGCACTTTTATATTTATGTTTCACATAATGATGGGCAGGATAGAATTTATTTATTGTTTTGAAAGAATCTTTCTGTAATAGACAATAACTATGAGGAACTTACTTCCATACCTCTTTCCAACAAATGTTACCCAGTGCATTATCCCATGCAGTCACACCTGGTAGACTAATAATATCCGTCTGAATTGATAAACGCCCTGCTGACGTTTAAGCTGGACATACATAGCTGGTTTTGGCTGGGCTCCCAGCCTGGCTGGACTGGTCAAGCTGGTTTAAGCTGGTCATCTCTCACTCTGACCAGCTAAAACCAGGCTGGAAACCAGCCTGGAAGTGGCCAAAACCCCTCTAAAACCAGGCTGGTCGACCAGCTAAAACCAGCCAACCATCCTAGGCTGGTTTATGCTAGACTTTTTAGCAGGGCGGATTATCCTACCATTATTTTTACAGGGAGAAGCAAAACATCTATCAAAGAAAATAATCAACCAAATTAAGAGAAATTGTAACAAAGTAGGAAAGACAAATTAAAGGGTAAACGTAAATGACGTGTGAACTATATGCTGGCCAAAATGTAGTCTACATAGGGCATGTCATATAGGATTGAGACGCAACCGGAGACTACTTACGTCATGTGCTTTATTTCCTAGAAACAACACACCTGAGTGCTGGAGCAGGTAGAAATCGGATGGAAGTGTTCTCACGATATATTTTGACGGGGAACCTGTACATTTGACAGAACAATGATAAGGGATTGACTAAAACTAACCAGTCAGTTCGGGTGACACCACAGCTCAAAGGAATCGGCTTATATTGGAGGTCTGTGCGCAAGCGTCTATCCCACGTCAGGATTATTTTTCATATCAATCAAAAATGGGTTCGTGGTGTTTTCTTTTGGTGTCCTTGATTTTTATTTGCGGTGTTTATGGCGGAGAGACACAGAGCAGTGAACAAAAGCAACAATGCGTAGAAACTTTCCACCACCCCGGTCGCGAAAACTTTGTCCTCCACACGGAAGAGTCGATCGAGGCTGGGGCTGTGTTCCTGGCGAACCCGAGCGTCGCTCATGAGGACGCGTGCATGGCTGCGTGCTGCAAAGACGCCAGATGCAACTTGGCTCTCGTCGAAAACCAGGCGTCCGACAACAACTGCTTTCTCTTCAACTGCTTGTATAAGCACAGATTTGTCTGTAAATTTACACCGAAGCAAGGATTCACAAACTACATATTGAGTTCCGTCTATGAAAAGTACCTGAGCGGCCGCAAAAGTGGTAAGATTTGTTTATAATCATTATTATTTAATTAATTTCGCTCATTATTTATAATAACGCACTGCTCAACCTGTAAAAAAAAGCTAGGTTCCACACAATTCAATTAAGTTAACTTAATTGTTTTTACAAATTCAAGTAGAATTTGTGTTTAATTGGTGAATTTGGTTTAATTTGATTAAACATTAAACAATTAAGTTGTCCCCTGATAAGATGTGTTGATTCAACTTGTTTTAATTAAGTAGTTTGAACAAGCAGTAAAAATTATATTTTAAGTGTACACCGTAAAAAGTGATTAGTTACTTAAAGCGAGTAAACAAATTGCCTTAAAAGAAACAAGTTGACTTTACAAAAATAATGTAAGTAAACTCATTGTTACTTGGAACTGTTAAGTTGACTTAATTTTTATTATTTATTATTATGCAAATTGTATTCACTTTTTTAAAATAAAAGTAAACCGATCACTTTTTCCAATACACATTTATTATTTATATATATATATATATATATATATATATATATATATATATATATATATATATATATATATGTATATATGTATGTATATGTGTGTGTGTTTTTTTCAGCTTTTCTGTCTAGCAAAATGACATTAACTAAAATAAATCTGCTCTTCCAAACTATAATTGTACATTTTATTGACTTAATAAAGCCCCAAATATGTAATATTGTAAAAACTGCAGTAATTATTTCAAAAGAGACGTGCTAAAATGGTTTGTCATTGTAAAAAAAGAATTAGTTGACTTTAAAAAGTAAGTACAATAAGCATAATTTAAAAAATTAAGTCAGCTGAACAATTGCAAGTTACAATGAGTTTACTTGCATTATTTTTGTAAAGACAACTTGTTGCTTTTAAGGCAATTTGTTTACTCGCTTTAAGTAACTAATTGCTTTTTACAGTGTATGCTGATCTGATCCAGCAGGTTTACTATAGTCAATCATTCACAAAAGCCTATCAGTCTATAGGCCTATGCATTTATAATTACATGTATTTTATGACACTCTCTTTACATAATAAATAAAAAATAGGCTAAGGAACAATATTTTTATAAAAAGAATTATAATAATACATACATATTCAGATATATGCAAGTAAGCTCTCCAAGAAACAAGCGAGAAAGAAATTGTTCCATCATCATTCAGTGATTCAGCAATGTTTTTGTTTAAAATTAAGGGAAAAAAAGGATTGTGGCAAAGTATAAAGATTTAAAATGACAATACAATTTTTTTCTTCCTTAAATTGTGATTATTATGGTTAATGTCACAAAAGTAAAATTATTAGCAATCAATAAGTTGATCACACTTTTGTGTGTACAATTTTCACTGCTAATAAACTTTTAATGACTTTTGTCTCAATTAACTACTAAATTGCTGTGTATTAAAAGTTATTAAGAGAGTAGTTGGGTTAATATTGGGTAGGGTTTAGAATAAGATCATTTATAAGTACCAACAAACAGCCAATATCTTAATGTTATTAAGGGGATAATGAGCCAAAACTGTCTGCATTCACACACCAGTGCTTTAAAAAAAGCTTCATATTCAGCACGTGTTCATTTTTTAGACATTAGTCCTTATATTGTTTACCATGCTGCTTTGAATATTCAGTCTGAAATCGCATGCATGTCTTCAAAACAGCATAAGCACTATTTCATTGGCTGTGAACAATGTTTGAGAGTCATTGGCTAATATGACTATCGCTATTTTTCTTAAGAGGGGAAGGACAGCCCTCCCATTGCCAATGCTGGCCGAGATGTCGTGGTACAGCCAAACGAGGATGTACTGCTGAATGGCAATGAGAGTTGGGATGACAAGGAGATCGTAAACTACGAGTGGAGCCTCACCCGTGGAAATAAATCCGTCCATATGGAGGTATAATATCATATTTGAATATGCGTATTAATAATACAAAGTATTATAGATGTTAATGTTGATGTGTGTACATTTGTGAACATCAACATTATATATAATGTTCCATGTGGGTATCAACATTCTTCAAAGTATTCTTTTGTTTTCCATAGCAAAATGAAAGTTTAGGGCTGAATGAATGATGTCGATAAATAGCTCAATGCATAAATGAATTCCAGCTAACGAAAATGTGAGTTAAACCATATGTTTTATACTGATTTGGCTTAAAGACCCAAATCGAAGCTCAAAGCCAAACGCTTAATATTTTTCGTCATTTATGATTTATTAGTGCAAAACATTTGTTTTTTATTGCATAATAGAAATAATTCCCACATCTTAGTTATTTTCCTATAACTTCTTCACAGAAAACCAACTTTCGGGATCAGATAAGAGTGTCCAACCTGATTCCTGGGGTGTACGAGTTCAAACTGACCGTGACCGATTCAGCTGATCATTCCGATTCAGCTCAAGTCATTGTCTTGGTGCTCACTTCTGAGCAATCCGAGCGTGAGTATTATTTATTTGATGATGCTTTTTTTCAAACCCCTCCCTTTATGACTTGCACTCATTTTTATGGAATGGATGAATGTTCTTCCTTTGAGCTTTGTAAATGTTTAGGAATACCAAAGTACAAATGGCTAGCTGAACTCAGCTTGGAAATAAACGGAGAGCGTTGTGTTTTAAAAACATCTAACACAAAGGGAAAGTATGGAAACTGTTGACTGATCTTGTGATTTATCTGTAGATAAAATAATCTGCTATAAATCTTAAATTGAAGAAATTAGAAGCAGGCAGAGTTACTTTTTAGGCACATGCTACGCTAGGTTTGTCTGTGTTTTTATTTGGTGAGAGACCTTTACCGCTCCCTTCCGCAGTTAGGCAGAACCGGTTGGACATGTTGCAGGATTCGAGTCACAGTTGCACGGCTCAGACATATCTGCTCTGCGTAAACACACATAACACACCCCATCAAGGACTTAAATACAGTAAAAAGAAATTCAGACCTTTCTCAACATTCTTTCATCTCAAACTTAGGTTAATAAAATAATTAGAGGTTTAGAGAGGTGAAAAATGAAAGGAGAGCAAGAAGTGCAAAAATGTAAAACAGAGGGACAAAGTTATTTATAGTTGAAGGATCACGAAACGCTAAAACACTTTTTTTAAAAATGTTGACAGTCATAAACGTGTCCCACGCTGCTAAAAACACTATTAGGACACATATATTTCCCTAAAAAGTAAAAATCGGTTGTTTTTGTGTTATTTTAAGCAAATTAATTCTTCCTGTTTGAAAATACATTTTGAAGCTTCGTCAAAACGAAGAGATCCTTGTGTGAATTCCAGAGCTTAAGCCTGGTTTATACTTCTGCGTCAGGTGACCGGCGTAACCCACGGCGCATGCAACGCGCGTGGCTGTGCATTTATACTTCTGTCTCTGTCGGTCTGCATTAACACTTCCGAAACGCTAGTGGGCAGTGAGGTGTAAATGTTCCTCTGTGTCGAGTTTCTTTGCTGCTTTTTTGCTTTTCCTGAACACTTCCGGGATGTACAAGTCATAGATATATACACTAGATGTCGCCTGGCCAATTGTTGTCTATTGGACGGAATGCGTCAATAGCGCCGCCATCTTGCTACAGGGTAGCGCTCCTTTGAAATGAATGCGGGACCAATGTACAGTGGAGGATTGTGGCCATCCAAAGCCAGAGATATACACATATACACATATATCTGTGATCGGGAGTTTTCCTGGATGTTAGTATGTAATTTTTTTTTCTAATTACGAAAATTATAATTTTACATCACTTTTCTACATTGATGGATCAGTGATCGCACGGGCATTCATGACAAAAAGCTTGTGTTTGTGTGTACAGAAATGTACTATTCACCCTCCCTGTTAAATTTGATCTAATCCGTGTCCTGAAACACAGCTCCTCTCCTGCTTTCACTTCTCATACTGACGGAGAGAGCGATTCGTTTGTCAATGAATCCCCCGAACGACTCTTTCACTAACGTTAGCCGACAATAATACAAGTTTCTGGCAGCGCAGCATCTCGTTGTCATATTTCTTTTGCATTGTTTGCTGATTTTATTCAACAAAACTAGCATAAGCTGAGTGTTTAGTGCGAGTTGGAGCTGCTTTGCCGTATGGTGAATGCAGTAAGTGACTGTTATCATCAATAACGTTACCTGTTTAGCACAAAAGTTCAGAACACACAAAAACAGAAAAAAACTAAATCTTACCTATGTAATGTTCTGCCTTTGTGCTTTGTTTTCTTTGTTTGCTCGTTACTACACCCGTAGACAGCGCTAAAGTCCTGCATCTTCACGTAATAACACTGTCTTGACTAGTGCGGTTGAATGACATTTGTCCTGGGAGCACTGTACCAATGTGGCGGCGCTATTGACGCATGCTTAGGGTCCCTATGCGGTATCTAGTGTATATATCTATGTGTACAAGTGGCTCAAACTCGCTCAATTTGAGGCAGAAACCGGCGGACGTGCAACAACTTTAACTATGAGGTAAACACAAAACAAAACTTTCCATCCGGAGCTCCTTCACGGGACTCCACGCGGCTCTCGGTCTCGCCCAGACTCGTTTGCGCTACCAAGCCGACCAATCACAGAGCTTGCGCTACGCGTCGTTGCGACGTGTAGTTAAATTTTTTGAGAGGTGCACGTCAGCGACGCCGACGGCCATGGCGAAGGGCTATGCGTCAGCGCCGTAGCATATGCCGGTGTTTGACGCAGAAGTATAAATCAGCCTTTAGACTGGCTGTCTGTACCGGTGGCCACAATGTGACGTCTTTGAGTTTTCATCATTAATTCAGGAGATGGACTTGGTTCGAACCAATCAGCGCACTCTATTATAAATAAAGCGCAGCTTCATCAATATGCATGATAACTTCAAAGAAGTTAGTGTTATTAATTGCAATAAATGTTAGTAATTGCAATAAAATAAGGTTGGTTTAGCAACTGCTGCGTTATCACAAAATTGCTTTTTACTTTCTTTCTAATACCCCTGTTTATATGATGCATCCATGCTTGTTTCATGACCATAAAACCTGTGATTCACTGTGTTTTTTTAATGATATTCATCTACTCTGAAGTTCTGCAAACAGGATAAGCATCTCTGACCACTTTCACAAACATTCGTACACTTTTTTTTTTTTTACATGGGGTGAATATATATATATATATAAATAATTTATATTTATATTTTTTACATTGATAAAAATATTGTTTAGACAAACAAAAAAATTAACGCAACAGTTTGCATTAATTTATAGAAGTTACGACAACATCTAACAAAATAAAGTGCGGACAACATTATTATGTATTGTTAATATTTTCCTCTTCAATTAGAGGCATTTTTAAATAGCAAAAAGTAGTTTACGCTTTCGGCTCACAGCAAGAAGGTCGCTGGTTCGAGCCTTGGCTGGGTGAGTTGGCGTGTCAATGTGGAGTTTGAATATTCTCCCTGCGTGGGTTTAACCCCTCAGTCCAAAGACATGCGGTACAGGTGAATTGGGTAGGCTAAATTGTCCGTAGTGTATGAGTGTGAATGAGTGTGTGTGTGTGTTTCCTAGAGATGGAAGGGAATCTGCTGCATTAAAAACGTGCTGGATAAGTTGGCGGTTCATTCCGCTGTGGCGGCCCTGGATTAATAAAGAAAAAAAAATGATTAATTAATAATAGAAGATTTTGCAGCATCTGAAACACACACGTTTGTTTATGCTTAAGGAACAAACAATAAAGTAATAGTAATGAAGGCCAAAAGTAGCAAAAATGTTAAGATCAAGTGAAGTCTTGTGGTACCTTTTATATTTTTGGTGACCTTTTATTCATAAACCAAAGTAATATTTAAGGGGAAAGAAAACATCTCTGCCAGTGAAGAAGAGAGATTTTGAACTGAACAGAGCTAGTCATGTTAAAACAGAAAGACTGTTAGGAAACAGGTTAGATTGTGAAATTGTACAGACATTTGAAGAAAGAATGAATTCCAGTGCTGAAAGTTCTCCAGAAAACCAGTAATGAGGCGCAGATGCTTTCTTACAGATTTGGAAATCAAAAAGTTGGGAAAGTAGAAAATACTAAACTCTGATAAAGAACCCCTTTTGGGAAAAAAGGATTCTTCAGCATAAAATGAATCTGAATAGAGCTAATATTATGAGCAAATGCCCTGTAAAGAAGCATGTTTTTTTTTAGAGAGCATGCCATGTTCACTTGATAGTTTGGAAGCACATGGAATTTAGAAAGCAGTTACTTTCTGATTTTTAGTTTTTTAACTCGATAAAACAAGTGGAAAGTTTATTTTAGATGAGCACTAAAGGGAAGATTATAGCCATATCTTGAAAAATACATATATTTTTGGGTTGTTACATGTGGCTTCAGCATATTTCAAAAGTCTGATCAACATTTGGTCACTTTAGAATTATAATGTTCTGTCTGACATTTTTGTCAATTGAGTTACTGATTTATTCTTATTAAATGACAACTTATTTACATTATGGGATGTTTTTTATAAGTTGTTTACATTTTAAGGCATTTATTTAAAAAACAAAAGTTACACATGTAGGGGCTCTATTTTGACGGTCCATGCGCAAAACGGAAAGGGCAGGGCGCAAGCGCTTTTAGGGCGTGTGAGAATCCATATTTGCTTGTATACGGACGGGAAAATCTGCTTTGCGCTGTGGCGCATGGTCTAAAAGGGTTGAGTTTATTTTTCTTAATGAGCTATAGGTGTGTTTTGAGAATAAACCAATTAGAGTCTCATCTCCCATTCCCTTTAAGAGCCAGCTGCGTCGCGCCAAGAGCGCATTCACTATTTACAGGACGCAAAGTAAGTCTAAGTGGAAAAAATGAGCATTTCACTAGCAAACAGTTCACAGTTTATTAACAGAAAACAGTTAAACAGAGCATCTACTGCGTGAGAATGAGAGATAATGGATCACTTTCACTTTCGCTCTTGGATAGGGAAACCTTTACACACAGACATTAATTAGTCTATAAATAATTAATTTTGTTTGTTAAGCAAACGAATAAATGAACAATAATAACGAAGTGTGTTTAAAAACCTGAGTTATATCCTAAAACACATGCTGTGCCCCATATGGTCTAAAACCTGACAGGTGGGCAAATCTAAGCTTGTTTTTAATAAAACAAATATAAATATGGATATAATAAATAATACTGCTAATAATAATAACATTATACAAAAGCAAATTGTTATGAATGAACTGAAAAAGCCTCCCGAAATGAAGAAGACATAAAAGCAGTGATTTTTCATATTTATGTAGGCTTGAATATATGTTTTGTAATATTTTAATGCTTTATATTTATATCCTATATCTATTCTTATTATATCCTATATATATCCTTAATATTTTAATATGTAAAGATATTTGCCTATTGCTCTACATCTTAAGCAATATTTTTGCGTATTAAGCAGTGTGTAAGCGAGGCGCAACTCTGCACTGGAGTTTAGACCGGGTTTTTTTTGGACTAATGAAAAATCTATTATAGTTTCTCAAAATAGCAACGCGCCAGCGGTGCGCCTTCCTTTTTAGAGCAGAACACCTATCGGCGCACATATGAGCACAAATGCATTTGCTATTTAAAGAGCGTAGCGCAACACCTCAAAACCACTCTTGCGCCAAGCTGAAACTAGCAAACAAGTATTGCGCCTTGCGCCACACTGCGCCGAGTGTATGATAGGGCCCATACTGTTTGCTATATGAAATAAAAAAACTTTGAAGCTCAATATCTCAAAATTGTGAGGTGACGATTTGATGACAGCTAGAGAAGCCTTTCAGTCAATTCTTGTCTGTTCTTGTATATCTCTCTATACTGTTCCGTTTCTATTTAAAAGTCATCAGTGTTGAATTATGTGTATGAGGGGAGTTTATTTGTGCAGTTAACACCTTTTTATTTCAATCTAAGACCTGTGTCTCATCAGAATTGATTAAACATGAAATAATTGATTTGTCTCACCAGGTCACTGTTTAACCCCTAAAAAGACAGGACCATGCCGAGCTTCTTTCATTCGTTGGAATTACAACGCTGCATCCAGACGGTGTGAGCAGTTCATCTTTGGAGGATGCATGGAGAACAGCAACAACTATCTCTCTGAAACAGAATGTCAGAATGCCTGTGAAAACACAACAGGTAATTCAAGTATCACTATACTGTTCCTGTAGTGTGCGGTGTGTTTAAAGAAGTACCGCTAAAGTCACATGCAGCAGTACATGCCAAGGTTTAAAACTGATAGATTTCAGTGCGGAGAGTTGGCAGTACTGACAGTTATAAGTACTATAGGTTGTCGGGGGGTCAATGATGCTACCATTCAGCACAACTCCATCAATATCTCCTTTCTGCCTGATCTTCTTTCTATGAAGGAATTCTGTAGAAGCACGGGCCAGGCACGTCTCCTCATTGATTAGTAATGCAATATCTTATTGCACAACAATTATCTAAAATTTTTTAGGCTAAAAATGAGAAATGACTCAGCCCGTGGCTTGGCAGGCAGTGGGAGATAGTAATGTTTTCACCTCCAGGGGAACATCTCTGCACTGACTCAAATCACTGATTAATAAAGTCATCTGAAATGGCAGGACTCCCAGAGTTCATCAAGAGTCTTTGAATTCATCTTCAACGCCTCCTCCATCATACCCCAGACATGCTCAATAATGTTCACTCTGGTGACTGGGCTGGTCAATCCTTGAGCAACTAAACCTTCTTTCCTTTTATTACACCACCTGAACCGCTGGTACAAGGCAGGATGGGTCCATGCTTTCATATTGTTTCGTATATGCTTTCATCAAATTCTGACCCGACCATCCGAATGTGGCGGCGGAAATGGAGACTCATCACACCAGGCAGGGTTTCTCCAATCTTCTATTGCCCAGTTTTGGTGAAGCTATGCAAATTGTAGCCTCAGTTTCCTGTTCTTAGCTGACAGGAGCGGCATCCGGTGTGGTCTTCTGCTGCTGTAGCCCATCTGCATCAAGGTTGGACGTGTTGTGCGTTCAGAGATGCTCTTCTGCAGACCTCGGTTGTAAAGAGTGCTTACTTGAGTTACTGTTGCCTTTCTATCAGCTGGAACCAGTCTGGCCATTCTCCTCTGGCATCAACAAGGCATTTGTGCCCACAAAACTGCCGCTCACTGGATATTTACCGTTTTGTAGTAAAAATACTATAAGGAGTGCGTTCACCCTGAAATTCTAAAAAGAATAAGTGCACTTTAAATACGCAGATGATACACTTATTCAATCACAATGCATCAAGTTAATTGGCAGATTAGAAATTTGCGTTAACAAGCAGTTGGACCAGTGAGTGTATTGCATATAACTGCAGGTTAACTATGTTTATAACTGTTAAAAGCTAGTAGTTACTCACTTAAAGGTATTAGTAACTAACCTCAACTAATAACCTGGTAATAACCTTGACTGGTCCCACTTTATATTAAGTGGCCTTAACTAATATGTACTTACACAGGAATTAATAGTTTGTTACAATGTATTGTGTAAATACATGTATTTATTGTGTACTTATGCTTGATTAAATACGTCTATGTAATTACATCTGTAATTAACTTCTGTAATTACATTTGTAAATACACTGTTGACCATCGCTTACACCTTAACCCCCCTTAAACCTACCCATGCCACCAAACCTGTCCATAACCCGACCTCTATCCCAACTCAAAAGCACCACAAGTGTTCTCAAATACATTATGAACACAGTAAGTACATTGTATTTATTTTTTGACGTAAGTACATAGTAGTTAAGGACACCTAATATAAAGTGGGACCCCTTTTCTGATTTAGATTGCAATGCTATAATGCACTTTTTGTAAAGCTGCTTTGAAACAATAATTATTGTGAAAAGCGCTATACAAATAAACCTGAATTGAATTTGCATATTTAAGAGGATTTAGAGGAGAGTTGAATTGGCCAAACGATACCCACACAATGAAAGAATCAGCTACTAAACTATGCAATAAGAATAGAATAGAGCCGTCAAATGGAGATTCAGGTCACAAAAACAAGCTAGGCCTATTTCACTATCAGTGTCACAATCACATTCCTTGACAGAGTTCAAAGGAAATCCTCCGGCTTCAGTTGCAGAAGGTATGGCATAACTTAGTGCTGAAGTTCTCAGGAAATAGATTGACACTGTTCCAGAGATATGTGCAAAAGGTGGCTATGAACATTAACCTTAAAAGTGGATACAAACAGTACGACTCGCTTTATTTGATAGTTGTTGTGTTGAGAGCAACCGTCTGCACATTTCATCAAAATTATGAAATGAATGATGTTGTGCAGACAAAACGTCATCACGTGTGTAAGGCCTTCTCAAATTTTGCCTTTAATAAAAATGTTGTTAATTATCATTATCATCATCATCATCATTTTCTTTTCGGCTTAGTCTCTTTATTAATCAAGGGTCGCCACAGCGGAATGAACCGCCAACTTATCCAGCAAGTTTTTACGCAGCGGATGCCCTTCCAGCCGCAACCCATCTCTTTGAAACATCCACACACACTCATACACTACGGACAATTTAGGCTACTCAACTCACCTGTAAAAGTGCACTAAAATGCACTGTATTTAAGTATAATTAGTACACTTTTCAGTAATGTACTATAAGTGCTGTATTTTTGCATACTAATTTTGTACTTAATGTACTAAAAGATAGTGTTAAGTATATGTTAAGATAAACTTAATACCATCTAAGTGTACTCAAATGTGCTGTTTTGAGACACCCTGAAACTGAACTATAATGTGATTTTAACATACTATGTCTGTATTTTAAAAAATATATTTAGTTACAACTAGAAATACACTTGAACCCTACTTTTAAACATTTAAATATATTTATGACTAATTTAAAGTTTAATAGTAATATATTAAAAGAATATACAAATTGTAAAAAAAGTGTGCTAAATTCTGTATTAAAAGTATTTTGGGAAAATGTACTCCTACTACAATACATTACTAATAGATTTTTTTTATATATTAACTTATTTCAAACTTAAGATTAGTATGTGAACAGTGTACTAAAATCAACTCATGTTTAAAGCATTTAAAGCACACTTTTAAAAAACACTCTAATAAAACTCTTTTGGATGTTTTTTCTGTAGTGTACTTAATTGTAGTACACTAAAAATTTATTTAAGTATTACTGGTATTTAGTATACTTTTGTCAAGTGTACTAAAGTCCTACTGAAGTATAAACATACTTTTAATTAGTATATTTATAGTGTAAAACCATCAAACTTTTATTTAACACAAAAAAAAACAATGTACTAAAAATGTATTTGCGGGCATTTAAGTGTATTTTAATTGCGTGTGTGTGCGTGTGTGTGTGTGTGTGTGTGTGTGTGTGTGTGTGTGTGTGTGTGTGTGTGTGTGTGTGTGTGTGTGTGTGTGTGTGTGTGTGTGTGTGTGTGTGTGTGTGTGTGTGTGTGTGTGTGAGAGAGTGTGAGTGTGAGTGTGTGTGTGAGAGAGAGAGAGAGAGAGAGAGAGAGAGAGAGAATGTGACCGTATGTGTCTTTCCTTGCACTGGGTAGAGTAGGGGTCACCAAACTTTGTTCCTGGAGGGCCGGTGTCCTGCAGATTTTACCTCCAACCCTAATCAAACACACCTGAACAAGCTAATCAAGGTTTTACAAGATATACTTGAAACACCCAGGCAGGTGTGCTGAGGCAAGTTGGAGCTAAAACCTGCAGGGACACCGGCCCTCCAGGACCGAGATTGGTGACCCCTGGGGTAGAGGCTGGATGAGCACCCACTGCATAAACTATATGATGAGTAATTGGCGGTTCATTCCATGGTGGCGACCTCTGATAAATCATGGATTAAACCGAGTGAGTGAGTGGGTTATCGTAATGTGGATTTGCTCTGTCACATGTCTGTAATGCTTTTCTTTCTCCTCCATATGTTGTCTGTCCTCAGTCAGAGCTGGTGGAGTAACGAGAAAGGTGCCTGTGGAAGGTAACTGCCTCTGAAACCCTCTGTGACAAATTCAGCTGTTGTTGTGATATTCGGTACTCAACAGTGTCGTTGTGTTTGTGTGGTACAGATTGTTCTTCACCGTGTGGAGTAGACTCGTTCAAATGCTCAAGCGGATGCTGTGTGAAGAAAGAGTTTGAGTGTGATGGACATCAGGAATGCAGCGATGGCTCCGATGAAAAGAACTGCCAGCAATGTAAAACGTTACACAACATAATCTCACACACACACAATCCAATGGATATACTCAAAAGTACTCAATTTGCTTTCCTTATTTTCATAGTGAACGAAAGCCTGACCCGACTTCTTAATATTGAGGTGAATAAAAAAGGTGAGTTTCGCACAATGTGGAGAAATTACCCAGCAGCAGCCTCATTTACTACATTATGTAATGGTTCATTTACATTTAGTCATTTAGCAGACGCTTTTATCTAAAGCGACTTACAAATGAGGACAAGGAAGCAATTTACACAACTATAAGAGCAACAATGAATAAGTGCTGTAGGCAGGTTTCAGGTGTGTAAAGTGTAAGAAGCAAAACATTAGTCATTTATTTGTTTATATATTTTTTGTAGTACAGTTAGCGGTGGAGCCAGAGAGGCAATTGCAGATTAGGAAGGGAAGTGGAGAGTAAATAGTTGAGTTTGTAGTCGTTTCTTGAAGACAGCGAGTGACTCTGCCGTTCTGATGCAGTTAGGGAGTTCATTCCACCAATAATAACAGATGAATGGGGCAATCCAGATGGATGGGGCAACTATTACTGCATCCAAAATGGGGAAAAGCCTCGGAGTAACGATTGATGACCAACTAAACTTCTTTGAGCACATTTCTAGATCGATCTTGCAGATTCGCACTCTAACATCAGAAAGGTCCGACCCTTCCTATCTGAACATGCAGCTCAACTCCTTGTTCAAGCTCTTGTTCTCTCCAGTGTGGACTATTGCAACTCTCTACTAGCCGGGCTTCCAGCTAACTCTATCAAACCTCTTCAGCTGCTTCAGAACGCAGCAGCACGAGTGGTCTTTAATGAACCTAAACGAGCACATGTCACTCCGCTGCTCATCTGTTTGCACTGGCTGCCAGTTACCGCTCACATCAAATTCAAAGCTCTGATGTTTGCTTACAAAGCGACTTCTGGCTTTGCTCCTTCTTATCTGCTCTCACTTCTGCAGATTCATGTGCCCTCCAGAAACTTGCGTTCTGTGAATGAACGTCGCCTCGTGGTTCCATCCCAAAGAGGGAAGAAATCACTTTCCTGAACTCTCGCGTTCAATCTGTCCAGTTGGTGGAATGAACTCCCTAACTGCATCAGAACAGCAGAGTCACTCGCTGTCTTCAAGAAACGACTAAAAACTCAGCTATTTACTCTCCACTTCCCTTCCTAATCTGCAATTGCCTCTCTGGCTCCTCCCCTAACTGTACTACAAAAAAATAAATAAATAAAAATACTAATGTTTTGCTTCTTACACTTTACACACCTGAAACTTGCCTATAGCACTTATTCATTGTTGCTCTTATAGTTGTGTAAATTGCTTCCTTGTCCTTATTTGTAAGTCTCTTTGGATAAAAGCGTCTGCTAAATGACTAAATGTAAATGTGTTTTTTTTACCCTTTATCAAAGTCTTTGACATGTGAAACAATCTTGCCTTTGATGCATTGTTATTGATTGAGTTTCATTATTTTCTCTCTAATTTACTGTCGATGCCACCCACAGTTTGGGCTAGCAGACTGTGCAAATATGCATTTATTAGTGTATTTATCTTGTTATATCTCTTCTTCCTAAATGATCTAGCCCATTGCACAGACCCACCTGCCACAGGCCCATGCCGAGCTCATTTTCATCACTGGTACTATGACCCTCTTAGCAAAAAGTGTCATTCCTTCACCTATGGGGGCTGTGATGGAAATAGGAACAACTTTGAGACGGCAGACAAATGCATGAAGAACTGCTCTGGTGTCACAGGTAAGATCGCTATACTGAAGCAGACGTGTTATTAGTATGATGGTTGAAGTTTACATGTGATGTGCATTTCTGATGTCTGTCCTTTTAGACAAGGATGTGTTTGCTAGAGGATTACTCGTGAGGGGTGAAGAACTAGGAGAAAGCCAGTCAGGTAAGGACAGAAATAATGTCATCTTCATATTCACAATATCCGACGGCACTTTAATATGTTGTTGTGGAATACAGCGATCAAAGATGACATCATCTGTTACGGGCTCTGTGCACGGCAAGTGTTTTTCAACCAGCAATAATCTTAAATGTTTATACGACTGTTTTCAATTAGTTAAGGTTACTTTTACAGCACCAATAATATACTTTAAATATAATAAGATCAGTTAAATAGACTTAAGCATTCATTTATTGTTTACATGTTTAAATGCAGACGATGCATTTATAATAGCATGACAGTTCGCTGAATGTGCTTGAGCACGCTTATTGTTAAAATTAAGTCCCAGTGCATATACCTCGTTTGTTCATTCGTTCTTTCAACTTTGACATCCTAATTACACTGGATTTGCATATGCATTTAAGTGTTAAAGCTAAAAAACAAACACAACACGTTGATTAAAATTATAATACATCAAAAAAATGTATGCATATAAACAGCATTATAATAATAATAAAGTCTGCTAAAAATAAAACCATAAATAAAGTAAAAGAAATTGCTGAAAATCTTACTTTAAGTGAATGCAGCTCATTTACAACCACAGCACTTCACTAGTCTCTCACACTGCTCTGTTGTGGTCTTAGTTTGCTTAGGAGATTTTCAGTTCAGTTTAAATCGGGACTTTGGGCAGGCCATTTCATTTTTTCAGTGTTTCAACTTCATGGAACTGAAAATAGTCATTCTTTATTTGGCCACCAGAATAATTTGCTATCGAAGGGTTTTCATCAATTTTGAATCACTCAGCGTCTTGCCAAGTTAGTGAAAATTAGGCTGCCAGATAAATCGTGTCGTCCAGATTAAGTGGGTAAAAAGGAATTTACCACTAGGTGCCAGATTAACACCAATAACTGGGAGGCATCTTCAAGTTCTTGTTTTTGATCTGTTTTTCATATATCTCTTTTAATTTGTGTTTCAGAATACATAGTATAACTTTTTTTGCCTAATCTTATTAGGGTAACTTAAACGGGATTAAGCCGTGACCGCAAAATGTTGGAAATCGTATGTTGCTCTTTTATTTTGATCTCCACTTTCCTGTATGTCAGACATTAAAGGAAAACGTAAACACATTTTAAAATAACTTTTTCCTGTAGTAAACATTTAAAAAGGAAAAAAAAAATATCCCTGAGAAGTGAATAAGGCCGGATTTACACTGCACTTTTCAAGTGACTCGATTCCGATTATTTTCTCTCACGTGGCACAGATCGGATATGAGCCATGTAGGTATAAGCAGGAACAAATCACATGGATTCCGATCTACTCAAATCAGATTCAGGCTTTGTTCGTGTGTGGAAATTTATCCAATATAAATCATATCTGCGTTCTCGTGTCTGCAGTGTAAGCAGGTAGATCGGATTTTCACTTGCCAATGCGAGTCGCGCGCCATGAAAACCGTAGTGAATAAGTCAAACCTGACATTTTCATTTCAGAACAGACTTCATCAGAGTCCCAAACCTTAAATCTCATACACGAGGACTTAAACAGCTTTCATATTGCCATATAGCACAGGTATTTAAGCATGTTAATGAGGGCGAGAGAGCGCAATGTCCACCACGTAACCAATATAAACTAATTTAAAACTAGTGCAGCTACGTCACGTGCGTAAATCACACCATGGACATTACATTAAGATGCCTTAAAGGTTTAAAAAAGCCAATATATCAAAAGAAGATGGACAAATGAGAAGCTTTCTGTCATAAACTATAGTAGAACAGCTCGTCAAGAGCTGGAACAGATTACATACAGGAATAGAGAAAAGAGCACTCTTTAATTATCAGCTGTTAGTCAGCGCCCGCTCTTTTTTTTTTTTTTTTTCCTGGTCATTGCGCCTTTGCCTTGTGCTGTGTAAATGCAGACGATCAGATATGAGTCACTTTTAAAAGATGATGTAAGCTGGTCATCAAAAAAATCGGATACGGTCACAAAATCAGAATTGACCATCAAGACCTGCAGTGTAAATGCAGCCCAAAACATCCCCCCCATTAATACATATTTATATAAATAAATACGTCACGCCAAAATGTAAATTTAGGGTGCTTTCACACCTGTACATTGATTATTTTGTTCCGAAACTGGGATTAAAACTGTTACAATGTTTATTTTTTGTTCTTTGTGCGGTTCACATTCACACTGCAAAGTTTCTAAACGGACCAAAAGAGTTTACACAAGTCACGTGCGAGTAAACTCTCCTCACATTGGTCAGTTTTATTTTAGCTCTCATGCATCCTTATTTTAATTCATGACAATGAACAATAAAAAATAATATACCCACAGACATCGTCATTAAATATAAATCAGAGGTAAGACTTTCTCAAACATAGCCGTTGGCTAAAATTATGCATTATAGCAGGGGTCACCAATCCTGGTCCTGGAGGGCCGGTGTCCCTGCTGGGTTTAGCTCCAACTTACCTCAGCACACCTGCCTGTATGTTTTAAGTATACCTAGTAAGACCTTGATTAGCTTGTTCCGGTGTGTTTGATTAGGGTTGGAGCTAAAATCTGCAGGACACCGGCCCTCCAGGAACAAGAGTGGTGATCCCTGCATTATAGGCTCTATAACAGATAAACCAAGACTGCAGTTCGGTCAATTGGATATACAGCTCTCGTTAATACCTAACATGCTTTCATGTATTTGACATGAAACGCACATTTACCGGTAGGAATGATGACATCCCACCCTACTCATAATTCTCTCTTCATAGAGCCGTATACGTCTCTTACATATCTATAATACACTGTGATATAGCAGGTTGGTTAGTTCGTTGGATCGAATCGCTTCATCACTACAATCAATCTGCTCCAGAGTTCGTTTCAATCAAGCAGAGACCACAACATTCAGGAGATCTCGGACTGATTGTTTTGGTGCGGATCCGATCGTGATTGCTGTATTCACATAACAAAAGTCTAGATGTGAAAGCACACTTAATCTAAAAAGTACTGAATTTTTATTACCTAATTCTGCATATGAACTAATCCAATAGCTGGTTATTTTTCAAATTCAATTAATAGGACCAAATTTAGTCCATATTTTACCAAGTTTAGGTTTAAATAACCCAGCATTTCTTAGTGTGCTTATTCTCAGGCCATCCAGATTACTTATTTTGTTGTTGAATAATTAGTTTGAGATCAAACATAGGTCCGATTCTGTATCATACAATGTTGTGAAATGTAATACCTGTGGCTCTTGGCAGTAAAAGTATAATATTGTAGTAAATAATGTTCGGTTACCTGCACAGACCAAGTAGTGTGCACCCCATCCCCCCCCACCCCCCAAAAAAAACCTTTAATATTACAAGTATTTATGATTAACTGATTAGTTTAGTTAACTATATAAACCAGAACAACATTGAATTTACTCTCTCGCCCCTACAGACACTACATTAGAAATATCTTGCATAAGCAATATTTTATTTATTTATTCATTTCGGAATTTGATGCAAAGATGACGTAATGCAAGGTATAGCTTTATAAATGTACAAATGTTTAAAAAAAAATTGCATATTTAACTAAATCATAAATAACCATTAAACGCGTCATCACCGTCTTGTGAAAGGGTCCATTGTACTTCTTTTATAGTGTGTGTTTCCCTCTTTATCCCACACAGCTTCTGTTGCTCTGGCTGTGGTTTTAGCTGTGGCCATCTTGGCGGTTCTGGCTGTTTTAGGCTACTTTTACCTCAAAAACAGGAGAAAACATCAGCATCAGCGTGTGGCCACCAGCAATCCTCCAGTGGGAGGCAGTGAAGATGACCAACAGATGGTCTACAGCAGCACCACTGCCAAAGCATGACTCCATACTCTTTGAAATATGTTGTGCCATACGGTGTTTGACCAGTGTAGAATGGATTATATTAATAATTTCCATATAAGTTGATAACCTTAACGTTAAACTATATAGCATATTCGCCCACTGAACCACATTGTTTATCTCAGGTCAAGGTGTTTTATTTGGATATTTACGATTAGTGTTGTTACATTGATCAGACCCAATCATGCTTTTTAGTTTATTTTATTATATTTTTTGTGAAATAGAATAAGAAAGTTGATGAGTCTTCAAAGACATTCTTCTAACATGAGCATTTTACCTTCTAGAATTTGCCAAACAAAAACATTGTAATTGTTGATTTGTTCATTTGTTTCTAGCAAGTCTTCAAGTAACAAGTTCTTAACTCTGGGGAATTTCCTATAACATAATAGTTCTGTTTTAATTGACAAATATTTTATGGAGTTCCGATTTATTGTTTATACTGTATGTGGAAAGCCATGAGTTCTTGTTTACGTTTACAACGTGTACTCTGCCAAAACAATTGTGTCATATTTATTGTAGATAGATGTGTGTGTGTTTTAATTGTATTTCACATTACTTTTTTAAAAACCTTCATTTATGATTTTAACCATGTAAGTGCCTTTTGGTTTATGGGGGCGGTTGTTTATCTGGAGCTGTTATTTTTCCCAAATAAAATAAGTTCAAATGTTGTATTTGTGTTCATATTTAAATTAAAATATTTGTGACCATTTCATTTTGAAGGTTATTGGCAGGTAAACTCATAATAATAATAATAGTTTAAAAATGAATGCGGCTAATATACATTCACATAATACCACTAGGCTCTCACACTGCTCTATCGCAATCTTCTTTTGCTAAGAAGATTTTCAGGTCAGTTTAAATCAGGACTTTGGGCAGGCCATTTCATTTCTTAACTGGGCCACATTTGCTGTGTCTTCTCTGGGCCACTAATAGCTCACAGCCACATTAGCCAGAGTCGAAGCTTTTCACTCATCATAGCACACGTGCTGCTGATGATGTGACAATAAAAGTGATTTGATTCGATTTGAGCTAACTGTGCCGAATATTTGCCTAAAGTGGACCACATATGTCTTAAGATAACTGGGCCACATTTTCCATATCTTCTCTGGCCCACTATAGGCTAACGGCTGCATTAGCCAAAGTTTACTGTGCCGAATATTTGCCAAAAGTGGCCCACATATGTTTTAAAATAACTGGGCCACATTTGCTATATTTTCTTTGGGCCACATTAGGCTCACAGCCGCATTAGCCAGAGCTAACTGTGCCAAATATTTGCCAAAAGTGGCCCACATATGTCTTTAGATAACTGGGCCACATTTGCATCTACACATGTGAGCAACTTTAGGTTTAGATCCAGATTACCCTTAAATGACTATGCCACATTTTTACCAACTGTGGCCCACATTTGTCCTCCATCATTTGGGCCAAATTGATTATTTTCCACATGGGCCACATTAGGCTCACATGCAGATTACATTTTGCCATAAGTGCCAAATCTTTGTTTTAAATGGCCCATATATGAATTTGAATCTTTGGGTCCCCAAAAGTGGGCCACTTCAGTCTCACATTCATTTTGTCAGGGCAGAAGGAAGACCACCAGTGCTGCATAACTGCCTAAAGTGGCCCACATTCATGTGCTATAGGAAGTTGCGAAAAGAAAGATCAAGATTGCATGATGCAATCCAAATGCATCAATAAACAGGAAAAAATAAAAACATGAATCCCAAAATATGGAAAACTGGAAAAATATATTGGATATTTTTATTGCTGTTTAATTTCTAATTATGTTGAATTAAATGATCAACACAACAGATTTATTTAGACCCAAGTCAAACACACACACAATGTTTCCTCAGAATGTTGTCAACTTCTAGCAATTCACGACTTGTTCTATCTTGTCTGAAATGCAACAGCAAAACACCCCAGCCATTGTAATATTCCTTTGCTGCATGTGTCATTGAGCTCTCTTTCGGCGAACATGTATTGCACAATAAAAACTAAATGTTGACCCTCATCTTCATTTATTAGATGACGTGATATAAAAGCCTGGTTTAAAAAGTGTTTTTTTAATAGATGACGTTCTTTTTCATTATGCTGCAGTTCAATTTTTTATTTTATTAATGTTTGATTGCTAATCTTTCACATTCCAGTGAGCTAACGTTTCTGAAATAGCCATTACATTAGCACTCTTATTGATC